ACCAAACTAACATGGACCTATAAATTTAAATTGACCTGACATGTTAATTTGATAAAAATAATTACTCTAATAAAAAAGAATTTTCATAATGGCCTTTGGAACTAAAAATATCCTTAACAACTACGTTTTTGGAGTCTTCTAAAGATGACTGTTCAGGGGGAAATGTGGCCATCCATTTATGTCACATCTCAAGAATTAAAAAGTTATCACTCGTCGGAGCTTAAAGCTATGATAGTATATCGAGAAATAGATGACAGATAGAATTCGAATGACAAAAGGATCATGGCTATGGTGTCGCATTCAACTATACTTCTAGTACAAGAATTGAATTAAATACTTATGTTACCTGTTTTTCTGATTGAAGTCCTCGTTGAAGCCTACTGATCCTGGTATGGAATATCCTCTCATCACCTAAATTGTCTTGTACGAAAATAAAAAACAATATCCCACAGATTCAGTGACCGTGTTGTCTTTCAAGGATTTTCGTTTTTGCTCGTCACCAGTTTTTGACTCGTCGATCGCAGAGCCATCAGTTTAATCCTTATCTTACAAATAAATTAATCTGGTTTGGAAGTACGACGGTCAATAAAAACGATTTGCAAAAGAACTGTCACAAATCCGGCCGACCCCCTTTTTTAAAAGTTGTTATCGTGCCACTGCAGTTGTAGAAATAGAAGTCCAACTTTAGACCGGAGCATATTTTTTATTTATATAAAAATGATATGAGGACATGATATAAAAATAATAAAAATAAAAATAATATAATTTAAATTTTTTAAAAAATTATAAATAAATTTAGTAAAATAAAAAAATTATATTTTATATTTTTATATCGATATAAATTGACATACGATTTTTATATAAAATATAATATTTTATATGATATGGTAACATAAATTATTAGATCTAAATATACCTTATTATTGATTCAGTCCTCACTCATGACCCCACTATACATTCACAGACCAATCAGATCATCACTGCAAGAATTTGTGTTAGCATGATCTATACTAAAAGTTTATTGACATCAATGTATGAATACGTTGATGAATGGGCATAGTTTGTGAACTTTATCAGCTTTATTTACAATTTGGTACTTGTTTGCTTGACATAAATTTTAAGTAAGAAAAAGGAAAGCATGGGTGTATTGTTTGTTTTTAAGAAAAAAGGGCCTTACTGGTTAATTTGGACCAAGCCAGTCGGGTTTTGGACATTGGGCTACTTTGCACACTAATCGAGTCGAAAGATAGGCCTAGCATAGAGGAAGTGATGGAGTTTCTGAGCACTAGAGCTCCCAGCAAGCCGACGCGAGGCCTTGTTCCCTTACAACAGTGCCACGAGTCTTTGCACTCGATATTCGGCCCATTCAATATTTGTAGGAGAAAAAATGGAACAGAGACTTTCTGAAAAAGACGCAAAAATTAAATAAAATTTTTTATGGTGAAATTTAGAAAAAAATTTTTAAAAAATAATTTAATAAATTTTAAACAGATGAATTAAGAGAGTTTAATATAAAAATTAATAATATGTAAAAAAAAATTAAAAATATTATTTATAATTCAATTTTAATCGATATTTATTCGACGATAAAAATTTTATAAATATTTTTATTAAAAATATTTATCTAAATATATATAAATTTTTTTAAATTTTATACATTTAATTTATATAATGAGATCTTTTAATATATCTATTTTTTTTCTAAATTTAGGTAATTTTTTTACATATGAAGAAAAATAACAAAATAAAAAAAATTTTAGCCTAGAATAAGGCACAAGCACTTATCTAATATCATTCAAAAAATACTCAAATGTTCTCTCTAACGAGTTGATGAGGAAAACTACAGTCTTTGGAGAATTGTTAGGTGTTTTAATATGTTAGATCAATTAAGAGTTGATGATTGGTATTTGGTCTTGAATAATTTTGGTTACACCAGACTTTTACATATGAGTTGATCAAGGTTGGGTTATTGGATATTGAGGTTTATATTTTACAATTTGAGCCCAATTCAAACTTGAATTGAAGATCTTGATTTATAAAAACATAATATGTTTTATTTAATTTTAAATTTAAATTATATTTTTATTTTTAAATAACAAAGTATATGAGTGGATGTGTTGGACCAAATCGATTAAAATTAAATTTAGTCCATAAATATTTTTAAAATTTATGGTCCGATTTTAAATTAAATGATTTTGGTTTCGATTTTTTTTAATTATACATAAGATGAACATAACTTATGAAAAAGGGATGAGGGTTTTATTCGAAATTAATATTTTTATATTTTTTGAAAAGTTTTTTAACCATTAAATCAAAACATTGAGGACCTTGATCTTGACTCTTAACTCTGTTAATTTTTAACTTGAAGTTGCTTCTTTAAAGTATATGTCTTTGATTTTTTTTATTTTTAATAAACGTAATCTTAAAAATAGTAGTGTATTTAAGTAAACACGTATTAATATCTCGTAGTGGCAGGCAACGAAGTTGTGTTTTTTGGTCATTGTGCATTTTGGTTTAATTATTCCATGGAGATTATAATTTGAGATAGAGATGTAAATAATATACTTACAAATTATTTGGATTTAATTTAAAAAAAAATTTAAATTCGATTATATTATTATCAAATCAAACTCAAATTAGAGTAATTTAATTTGAGCAAAACGAGTCGAGTTTAAGTATTTTAATATTTGACTTGAGTGTTCGTAAGCTTATTCAAATTTTTTTATTTTAATATATATGTTAATAATTTAATTATATTTTTACCTTTAAAATATAAAAATTTAAAACTAAAAGCCCTAAATCTTTTCTTTTCTTCTTTCACTTTTACACTCTCCCCTCCCCTCAAATGGCCCTACCTCTTTCACTCACTCACCCTTTCCAAACAATGCTACCTCTTTCACTTTTTGCCCCGTTCCTCTTTTACTTTATCTAAATCTTCCTTATAATGTTTCTACTTTAACTATTTAAAAAAAAAAAATCTTTTTTATCATAAATTATGCTTGAAAGGTCGGTGATAATTTGCAAGAAGCGAAAATATAAATTAATTATATGTGTTAAGTCAAAATCCTATCTTGATAGGAACAACCATCATTTCCAGCATCTTTACTTTTTGCTATTTTTTTTTAGCTTTTTGAAAAAAATTTTGGGTATTCGTGGCATTTGTATTATTTTTTTGAGTATTTATAGTATTTAAATTTATTTTTGTGATAAAATATGTTAACAAAATTATTAAATTATTGATATCATCTTAAGATTTGATGATTATTTAAAATGATGATATGTGATTTAATTTTTTTTTAATTTCTTATTTTTTTAAAATTATTTTTATTGTTTTGAATTTTTATGTTTTATTGTTATATTCGAAATGATTTACAAAAAATTTTATTATTCTTATTTTTTTATTCTTATTTTTGTTTTGTGAAGAATAAATATAAATTATAAATTTTTTAATATAATTTGAGTCGAACGAATTTTAACTCTACTTAAATTTTATTTCGAGTGAAATTTAAATTTAAAAATTAAAATTCGAGTTAATTTAAATTTAAATTTATAAATCAAATTTAAATATCCTACTACGCCAACTTAACTTAATTTGATTATACTCCTAATTTGGAGTCATAGAGAATGAAGCACGTGTCTTTTGCCTCTTCTTCAAGAAAAAAAAAAAAGAAAACGCTCCTCTTCCTTTTCTCAATATTCCGTATTGATCCTTTAGCTTTTTATTCAAATGTTTTTTTATCAACTATGGTTACTTTACTATTAGCACAAGATTCGACTCGATATTTTTGCCGAATTGCGAGTGTACGAACAAGCTCAATTGCTGCCCCTGCGCTGCTCTCAATGTTTTTGAACCTGGAATGTTCCATTATACAAAATTGAGAAAAAAAAAAATGAAGAAGATTATCCTGAATGAATAATATATATTCTGAAGTGGATTTGATGAAAAATGCTATTACCACAAAATTATGAATTAAAGAATTTACGTAGACGAAGAGTTTGTGCTCTGAGGGTTTAGTAATCAAACAAGCTAAAAGAATAAAAAAAAAATATAGTGAATGTGAAAAGGTAAAATAACTAATGAAAATCTATTAATATCCACCATCACAACTTTCGGCAGAAAAAAAAACAAAAAAAAAAAAAATTTATGGGGACCTGATTCCTTGACGCCGCACTGTACTTGAGTGCAAACCCCCCAACCAGAATCCAAACCAAACAACCATGATTTGATTTTGTTTTGTAATGTACCCATCCTTATCTTTTCAATAATGAATGAAACAAAATTTCCCAAGATTTTTTTAATTTTTTAATTGAATGAAGTAAATGAAAAGTTTAAAGTAAGAAATTGTCATTAATGTCTTAATAATAATATATATTTCCAAATATATATTATACATATATAGTATCCAAGATATTTTGTTTTGATGCATTGTTAATGAGATTTAGAATAAGAGATTCCAATAATGAGATAATAATGTATAAATTTTATATTATATTATTATTAATTATGAAAAACCCTTAGGGAAGACTCAAGACTGCAATTAAAAATAAAAAATTATATACTAAAAATAAAAATAAAAAGTTATATATTATATTAATGTAATATAATTTAATTATATAATTAAATATAATATTAGAGATTATAATAATGTAATTAAAATAATATTTAAAATTATGATATGATTGAAATATCATACGTTATTCTTTTCTTAATTAGTGAGATTTTTTGGTAAATAAATAAGACACATTTACATAATATTTTCTCAAACCAGTGAATAATAATTTTTTTAATAGGAAAAATAAACTTATATAGTGTATTTTTTTGTAATTTTATATTTTGTAATTATTAATTTTAATAAATCTAAATATAAAATTAAATTATTTTTATTTATCTTTCTCATCTTTTAAATTTATTAAAATTATATATTAAAAAAATAAAACTTTTTAAATGTTGAACTATGTAAGTTAATTCACGATATTCCTTTGGTGCCACGAGCGTTCGCACTTGATATTCTTGCGGCCCAATTCAATATTTGTAGGAGAAAAAAAAGGGAGGGGACTTGCAGAAAAAGATTTTGATTTTCCAATTCAAAGGTATTTCTAGGGCTTTACCACTTATTAATTCACATCCCTCTTGGACTCTTTATCTTGTATTGAATCTGGAAACGGAAAAAAAAAAAAAAAAAAAAAAAAGCTAACAAAATTAGAAAGAAGGAAAATCATAGGAATAGAAGTCAATCCCTAAAACAACGAAATAGATAGCAAGGATTGAAATGAGTAGAATGTGGAGGCTGACTTCCCTTGACAACGCCGTGAGGACTCTTAGATATCTCCAGCAATCCTCCTTCTCTACTGCAGTTATCCGCCAGCATTCTTCTTCCTCTCCACGCCTCTCTTTTCCGCCTTTGGCCACCACTCTCCGCCACCTTCGCACAGGCCGCGATGCTGGCGTCAGGTAGTTTACTATTTGTATTTTTATACTATATTCTAGAATCCAATAATGATTTCAATTCTTATTTCTAACTTTTTGTTCAATTTTTAGTTACGAGACTACACCTCCAGTAAACTGGGGCATCCGCATCGTACCGGAGAAGAGAGCCTACGTGATAGAAAGATTTGGGAAATACTTGAAAACGCTGTCGTCTGGAATACATTTCCTTATCCCACTCGTGGATCGAATTGCCTACGTTCATTCACTCAAGGAAGAGGCCATTCCTATCCCGGACCAATCCGCTATTACCAAGGACAATGTCAGCATTCTCATTGATGGCGTTCTCTATGTCAAGGTCTTTCTTTCACCCTCTTCTTTGCTGCCCTTTGCTCAAGTTTAAAACATTTGGTCTATAATTTGCTTTGGAACTTTGCAGATTGTGGACCCCAAGCTTGCCTCTTATGGCGTTGAGAACCCAATCTATGCCGTCATTCAGCTTGCTCAAACCACCATGCGTAGCGAGCTTGGTAAAATTACCCTCGACAAGACCTTCGAAGAGAGAGACACTCTCAACGAAAAGATTGTGGTTCGTTTTCTTTCCTTGATTCTCCCATTTCAAATTTAACCTTATTAAATTACATGAATCAACCCGACATACAAATAAATTGAGTTTATAGTACAATTCTGGTTCCAGATTAGTAATGGGATAGGTAGAAGAGAGGTCAAGGCTCTCTACAAATCCTTTTTCTGCCAACAGTTTGGGAGGAGGCATTGTGAATAACTATTCTATTTTCCTTTTGTTTACTTTCACTTAGTAAAAAGAATGTTGTTTACACTTTGTGTTGAATATATATAACATTTTGGAAATTGTTTATGACTATTTTATTTAACATTTGATTAACTTATATCTTTCCACACATTTTATTTCTATGGAACGCTAAGGTATGCCTTTGATGGTTCCTGCCCGATGGTGTCAAGTTGAAAACCGTATGTTGTATGGCAGCTTTTTTCCCTAGTAGGGCGGGCAAGTTGATGTAGGTCTATCAGTTTTTCATGATTAACCTTTGTGTCAAAGCTTGATGTGACCGCTATGACAAGTTTATGCCTAATGTGTTATATTTCTTTTAGCTAGTTTGTTAAATGTCTGAGATAATTTTCCACTGACAAGTAATTCTGGAAGTGCCAAAATAGTTGGAATACCATATTAATCTTATACTCTAATTCCACCGTAGAAAGCCTCAAATTGCAGCACACAGCCCCTTTTCCCTTACTCCCCTCTTAACAAAAAGGATGATGATTCTTTTTAAATGACATGAGTGCTGCAGGAGGCCATCAATGTGGCCGCAAAAGACTGGGGTCTCCAATGTCTCCGATATGAGATAAGTGAGTATGGTTCTGCAAATATTTTCTTTTGGGCATTCTTTATGTTCCCAATACATCCTTCATACATATTTTACTTCCCTGTCATTCCAGGGGATATATCTCCACCCCGTGGAGTGAGGGCAGCTATGGAGATGCAAGCAGAAGCGGAGCGCAAAAAGAGAGCTCAAGTTCTTGAATCTGAAGGTAATGCAGTAATTTCAATATTTCTTTTCATTTTTAGCCTTAAGGTAGCATCTAATGGTACTATATCATCTTATTCGTTGATTTAGATGGCATGATTTATTCATAAAAGTTAATTCTAACAGGAGAAAGACAGGCCAACATAAATATTGCTGATGGTGGGAAAAATGCTGTGATCTTAGCATCTGAAGCTGCAAGAATGGATCAAGTTAACCGAGCGCAAGGTTAGTAATTATCAACTTGTAAACAGTCATTATGTTAAAAAAATGATGAGGCTTAATCTGAATTGTAATTGAAATTGATGTGGGTGATTAATTTTGATTATTTATCTGTTTATATTATCATGAACTCTCCTCATATGGACAATCCAAGCTGATCGAGCAACAATTTTATTATTGTTCTTGTCTCTTTTGATTACTTCCTTGATGCCTTGAATTTTTCCTTCTTAACAAACTAATTTATCAGGTGAAGCGGAAGCCATCCTTGCTAGAGCTCAAGCTACAGCTAAAGGAATTGCCTTGGTGTCTCGGTCCCTGAAGGAAAATGGGGGAGTTGAGGTGAGGTTCTTCCATCTTTGTCATCACGTTTGTGCATAATAGGTGCTAAGATTTATACCATCCAAGCTGAAACTATTAGAGGAGGATTCAAACAAGATTTCCTAGTCTACTTTTATGCTATCATTATTTTCCATGTGATAGAACTTAGAAGTTCGTAAACATGTTGGCCTCATAGTGATACTTATAAATGTCAAAGAGATCTCAATTCCCGGTGCCTGTGTCACGAGTCGAGACTTAAGCTTCGACCCGTGCGGCTCCAAGATTCGGACATTTACTCTTTCAGTGTCCCAGATCAGTATGACCGTCACGGTTCACAGTCTTGTGAGGTATTGTCCGCTTTGACTCCTCTGACCTCACGGTTTTGTTCCACAAAAAGCACCTTACAAGGCAGAGGTAGTGTGAACTCTTATATACCCCAGTGACTTTTCTTTTATATTTGATGTGGGATTCAAGGCTCGTCCTTAGGTCCGTGACATTCTCCCTCACCTAACCTCGTGACGCTCTCGTTACGGAGGCTAGCCACCCTGCTTACCTCTTTCGAGGGGCTTGGCGTGGATTGAACGGTTTAGGGCTGGTTCTGATATCATTTGTCATGGGTCGAGACTTAAGCTTTGACCCACGCGGCTCTAAGACCCGGGCATTTACTCTTTCGGTGTCCTAGATCAGCCTGACTGTCACGGTTCACATCCTTGTAAAGTGTTGTCCGCTCTGGCCTTACGATTGTCCCACAAAAGGCTCTTCACAAGGCAGAGCTAGTGTGAATCTTTATATACCCTAGTGACCTTCATTTTATATTCGATGTGAGATTCAAAACTCCTCCTTAGGTCCGGGACACCTGCACTTGTATAATGACTGGAGTCTCATTAGTTGTCTGAATTTAATGACTTGATGCTCATTAGTTTTCTGGATTTGTAGATATAGGGAATATACCGAAGACTTCAGTTTTTTTTTTTTTTTTCAAACTTTCTTGTCCGTACTTCCTTCTTTGTCTTTTCCAGTTAAAGCTTGGTTCAGTTGTCTGTACAACTCTAGTTCGATCTTAGGAGATATTCAGTCTGTTCCCTGTATTGTTGTATGCTCTAAGAGGGAATTATTAGTCTCGGAGAGAGAAAAAACCCTTTGTTGATCCTGAGGTGATACCCAAAAGGATTTGTTATTTAAAGGAATAATTTTATGCTTATATGTAGCATTTTTTTTTAATTTGTAAGTGTTATATGAATCATAAAGTGTTGCTGAAGTCATTTGTAGATGTGAGGTACTGATATCATGCTCATTCCTAAGTAAAAATGGGACTCAAAATTATGGTCTCTTTGGCAGGCAGCAAGCTTGAAGATTGCAGAGCAGTACATTCAAGCCTTCAGTAATATTGCCAAGGAGGTAAAAGAGAGATCTCAGACACGTATTGCGAGTATTAATGTTATCAATGTTTATTCGTTCTATCATGCTGCTTGAACTTGTCCTCTCTGCTCATTTGTTAGGGCACAACAATGTTGCTTCCTAGTTCTGCTGCAAACCCTGCCAACATGATTGCCCAAGCTCTCACCATGTACAAAAGCCTGGTCAGCGATGTTTCTACTGATGGTTCTCGTGTAAACATTTCCCCTGAGCTATCTGGAAGCACAAAGAATGCTCCCTCTGGAGAGACTGAAAGTGAAATCCTGAACCCTAAAGCCAAGGAAGCAAGAGACTCAAGTCATGTTGGTCAAGCTGGATATTCACTTCAGGCCTCCAAGAAGAACGAATAAAACTGATTTTTACCAAAATTCCGTTGCTTGAAACCAGATATTTCCGGGTTCTTGTATGAAGACTATTTTGATACTAGTTAGAAGAAGGTTTTGAATATTTCAAAAAGAAAGGCAAGGATTTAGGGATTTAGAATTGATAAGAGAGGATGTCCATTCATATGGTATGAGTTTAGGACTGCGATGTGATACAGGCTGCGTATCTTTTTGAGCCTCGAGGCACCAACTAAAGGGTTAAAAGCCTATACGTAGCAGTGGGGTACAAACATTTGATTGGATTTAATTTCTTACGCTTACAGTCTAAACTGTAAATCAAATAAAACTTGATCTGTTTTTTTCTTCCATTTTTTTTCGAAGTTTTCAAGCTATCAACTATCATTTCTGCAGCAACATGTAAACTTATGATGTCCCTTCTGCCTACTACTCATTCCTCATGAAAAATACTACCAACAGTTCCAGGTGTGTTCATAAAATGGCAAGGCTTTCCTACTTATGAACAAAAAAAAAAGGGCATGATAAGTAATACGCCGGTAGCATGTGAGAGTGAGACCATCGACTATGTGAACCGTTGACAGCTGCCCGCTCGTGGGAGAGACAGTGGGTCCGTTTTTGTTTTGAAAGAAAAGAAAAATGTTCATTTTTTTGTCACAAAATAGATGTCTTTGGCCTGCCACTGTCACAACATTATCTCTGTTCCCGAAGAGTTCCATGGCAAGGAGTGGCAACGAAAATCATGGTTGCCTTTTCCCATCCAAACAAAGTGATAACTCTCCTGTTGCCAATGATATATAACTCATTTACTCCCATATAATTAATGAACTGGAAAAAGCTTGCAAGTTCTCACGCACTATGCTTGAAACGAATTTGACAAATGAAATTCAAATGAAAGTGCATTATTTTAAGAAATTCAGATGCAATAGAAGCTACTTGTGATGGAATATGATTCCAACAACCATATGATCAAAAGCAAAGAGTACATCACAGTTCACAATCATAATAGTTTCAATACAATTATGCAGAAGTTAAAACGCCATTATAGAACAAAAAGGAATTAGCAACCAAGCAATATTGAAGCTGAACAAAAACAAGAGATGAACAGAGTAAAATGATGGCCGAGAAATGAAAAATCTAACATTTACTTGCACAAATGCTCACGGATACGCCTGTCTCTGGGTACACTAAAAAGTCGACGATTTAAAAAGAGCCCTCTTTGTTCTTTTAGGGAAAAGAAAGAAGAGAAAATCAGATGAGGCCGAACAAAACAGAGAAGCCCAGAACAATGAGCCAAACTATATGCAACAAAAGTAGAGCCTGACCAGACAAAGATCCATTTCCACCATTATTACCAACCTCGCAAAATCCTATTTTGGCAACTTTAGCCCCAGCGCAATGAGCATCCGCACAGCCGCACCAGTAGGTAACTCCGTCGTCCCCGCAAACTGGGTCAGCCCTGAAGCAGTTGACGGGGCAGGAATTGGGTCGTGGCGAAGTGGCGCATGGATCGGCTTCCGAAGGCAATCGGATGGCCGAGAATTTCGGTTGTGATCCACTGGTGAAGGAAGAGGAGAAAGGAACGAGCAGCAGCAGCAACATCAGGGACAATGTGGATTCACGGAATGGGATTGGAAACAACACCACCATGTTTGATTGATTGATTGATCTCAAACTCGAAAATGGGTTCTCCGTGAAAGGAATTTTTAAGAACATTAAAAGTGGGGGCAAGCTTTCCTTTTGTTAAACGAAAAAGGGAAAGCTCGCCTTGCGTTTCTTTCTTTCCCGACTCAGACAAAGCAAGATTGAGGCAGAACAGAGGAATGGAGGAAATCAAGGCTTAATCCTTGCCTCGAAAGCAAAGAATTTACCTTACATTACATGTACGTAAATACGAAAAGAGGAAAGCTAGAGAAGGGAAGGAAAAGGAAAGATAATGAAGGTTCAGAGAATACTAATACTATAATTATTAACCTTTTGGTTTTGTTCTTAGCTGTCCAATACAGTTTACAGGTTTTCCATTGATGACGATTGATGCCAGGCTTAAACTGCTTCTCAATTATTCTTATGTAAGTATGTTTAACTTGCATCATGCCACGTGGAAAATCAGTTTACTAATTTTTTATATTTTTTAGGTTAATTAGGTGGGACGCTGGCTTGAATCCAATTTATTTTTTATTTTTTATTTTTATTCTTTTTTTTTGAAAAATTTATCGTGTTTCTTTTTTTTTTTTTGCAAAAATTTAAAGATAAAACATCCAAATAAAGGTTAACGTGAATATTTAAATTAACCTCTTATTCCCAACAAAATATATATTATAATTTTTTTATTTTTTTACTTGTGGAACCCACTAATATAAGGCTTTCAACAAAAAGTCCTATATCATATATAGATATAAAATTAAATAATAATAAGATATATATTTTTATATATATCATATGGTGGCTTGAGATAAAAAACTAAATTGGCCTTTGATACATCCTCAATTTTTATTAAAAAATTAAATCAAATTGATTAAATATTGATTTTTTATAAAAGTATTTATATTGAATTAAAATAGATAAAAATATATCAGATATTGAATTAAAAATATATTGAATACTACGTGCGCACCTCTATTAACATTTATTTTCTACAAAAAATGACCTAACTAAAAAAATTAATAAATGAAAAAAAAAGCAAAACAGTAAAGAAATTAGAAAAAAAATCTTACTATTGGATTAAGTTGGATTAAAACTCATAACAATTCGTTTTGCTTATCCATCGACTCTTTGATTGTGAAATTTATCTAATTAAAAAAAGAAATAATGAAATAAAAAAAAAAGAAATTAAGATGCTACATGGATACTTATATTGGTTTTTAAAATAAATTTATTTAAATAAAAACAAAAAGATTGTAAAAAAATAAATTAAAAAAAACATAAAATGTTACACCAACATATTAGTTAAAGATCAAATCATAATAAAAATGAGTAAAATTTATATAACGGATGTCAGATGGATAGATAGATAAATTACATCTTAATTATATAAAAAAGTTGTATTTTTATTAAATTAAGATATTAAATAATAACTTTACTAATATAATACATATATAAATATAAAATGAGATAAATAATTATTAAATTAAAAAGATAAAAATAAAAAAGAAAATAATATATATTTTTAATAACTAAATCAAATGGGCTCCATTTTTTAAAAAATTTAAAATATTCTAAAATATTAATTAAATAAAAAATAAATATTATGTAAATAAAAAAATCAAATAGTTTGATACGTGACATGCTCTTGATATCAAGTGGGTCACAAAAAATAAAATCTAAATAATTATTTACTAAATATATTAAAAAAAGAAAAATAAAAAAAATGAAAAAATAAACATGTGGCATACTTTTAGTATTAAGTAGATCTCACACGCAAAAAAATTAAAATCTTAAAAATATTTATTAAATATTTTTTAAAAAAGTAAAAAAAAATTATGTATTAAGTGGGTTTCAAAAAAATAAAAAACAATTAAAAAATATTTATTGTATATAAAAAGAAAAATAAAAACCAAAAAAAGTTAAAAAGAAACAGTTAAAGAAAAAGCAATAAAAAATATAAAAATCAAAAGTTAGCATTTAAAAAAAATTTAAAAAGCAAAAAAAAAAAAGAAATAAACAAATGGGGTACTATATAAACACTTTCATCGAAATTAATTTTCACAAAATTGATCTAATAAAAATTAAACAATAAAAAAAGCCAACAAACAAAAAAAAAAAATCATGTTCTATAAAATCGAGTTAGATAAAATTGCAATAAATATAAATTATTTTGTTATACTTATCCATAAACTCATTTGTGTTGCAAAATTTATGTAATTAAAAATAAACAAAAAAAATTTCAAATTGGGGTGTCATGTGGATATCTCAATTGGGTTTATTTTACAAATCCATTTAAATTAATAATAAAAAACCAAAAAATTAGCAAAAAAAATTTAAAGTGTCACACTAACAAATTGAATGGGAAAAAAAAGTCAAAATAAGCAAAATTTATATAATGGATGATATAATGTATAGAATACCTCTTAATTATTTGAAAAATATAATATTTTTATGTCTAATATATATATATATATATATATATATATATAAAGAAAGTTTGGTGTAAAGCGAGTCTCACTTTTAAAAGATAAAATCTATAAAAATATTTATTAAATATAAAAAAAGAAAAAATTAAAAAAAGAAAAAGAAAAATTAAAGAGTAGTATGCGGTACCCTTGATTGTTCATTCATGGTCAAAATTTATTATTTAGATATGAAATATACGAGGAGTGCACCTTTACAATCTTTTAGGTAGGAGATTTAAGGCCAACCAAAATCTGAAATACCCGATGTATTATGATATAGAGCATGCATATAATTGATATAAAATGATTCGAACATAATAATGTATAAAAAAAAGTTTGGGTTACGTTGAGTCGATGCCTTGATTCGAGTTGTTCTTTTTTGAGGGGTGAGTTCGACAATGTGTTTGAGAGGGGAAAATTTGAGGGGATTGGCCTCGGATGGAAGATTATGACCAGCCGACCATTGCGGATGTGATTGGAGAAAGATATCATCTGAGGTTCAAATCTTGATCTGCAAATGACCAGATCTCCCTTTTCTTCATGGTGCATATGTAAGAAGGGACAAGATCATAACTGTTCCAGGTGCGTTTCTGATTTCTCACTCTGCACCCTGGTATGAAAGGCGCCAGAGGAAACCATGCCGTCCGGTTTGTATGCCAATTGACAAGGTCAAATATAGATAGGCCAAAAAAACCAGCTTGCTAGGACAACAAAGGGCTATCGAGAAAGTCTCCTAAATATTAGAAACTGCTCAACCTATATTAACGATTCCCTTCCATTGCTCCCATTCCTTAGCCTCAATTGTATTATTGAATCTAAAAGCATATTGGAGAAAGTACAATCCGACCACCTCCAGAGACTCGCCCAATCATCCCAAAAATTCCTGACGTATAATGGGAGGCTGTGCGAGCAGACCTAAGGAGTCTGACATCCCTGTCGAGGCTCCGGCCAACTCTGAGGAGCCTCAGCTTGAGACCGCTGCTCAGGTAACACCTTAAATTTCTATTCATACGATTAGGGGACTTACAGATTAACGGTTTTGTGTTGTTGTTTCATTAATATTCTTTATTTTCAATATATATGAGCGCAGAACAACACTAACGGAGGTGAGAGTCAGATTGAAAAACCTTTGGTAGATCTTTCTGAACCTGAAAAGGAGGGGGCTCAAGACTCGTCCTTTGAACCAAAGGCTGCTACTGCTGAACCAGTTTCGGCAGAGACAGTCGCTGAGACCGTCAAACCAACAGAGGACATCGTTAAGGAGATTACTGACAATACCACAGTACAGCCGGCAAAAGGAGGGTGAAGCTGATCTCAAATCAAATGCTGCCCCAAGCAAGGAAGAAGTAAGAAGTGATACGCCTCTCGTTTCTCTGTGATCACGGAGAAAAACTATAGCCTCTAGGGCAGGGTTCATCATCTTTAAAAATTGTTACTTTTGGAAGTTCGGATTGTATTTTGTAATTTGTATCACCCTGATCAGATTCGTTATGATCAGCTTTATATCTTCCATTGTTGTTACATGATCTGTAACAATTGAAAATCAGATCATATCCATATATAAAATGATCAGTGTTGTGGTAATTAACAAATTGTTGTTACTATATCCCCACAAGAACAAGTTTGTTTGAATGTTCTTATAAATCCAATGGGAACATTCACAATACCACGATGATGTTTGATGCATGTATATTATCGCCAGGATTAGAAATGAAGAAAGACAAATCTATCCAGGAGGCAGGGACCCAGGTGTCGTCCTAGGCCTGCAAGCTTCGGCTCCTTTTCAGTCGGGCTAGGGCAACATTTAACATTAATTATAAAGGCCTTAAGCTAGGAGTGGAGGGACCTGACCAGGTCGACTTATTTATTCAAGATTTGGGCCAGATAATGACCGGCATAATGGGAAAATTGATCGGGCTCGCCCATCCATTAAGATTTGAAGCCCAACTAAAGGACCATATTTAGAAGAAAACAATATAGAAAACAAAACTAACAAATTATGAAATAATACGCATTTAGAACTTAATTTAATTAATTTATATAGTTCATTTTTAGAATATAACATTTAATAAATTTAAAATTTAAATTCAAATACTTATAATTTATTATTTATTTTTAAATTACAATCTCTTTTACAAAAAATTATATAATAATATTGAATTAACATGAAATCCAAATTAAATCACAATAACTACATAACACGAAAGATATAAATATCATTTAATATGAAATTTTACATATTTTTAACTAATTTTATTTTTTTAAAATTGTTTTTCACATTCCATAAAAAATTATTCAGTAAAAACGAATGTTACATAAGTGCTTTTTTTTTTTCTTTTGCCTATTCTTTTTATCTGCATTATGAAGATTACTTAAAGAATTGGATTAGAATGGGTGGGCGAAGGCGTGGGCTGAACAATTAGCTGACGTAATCATTCTCTCTCTTATTGAAGAGAGAGAGAGAGATAGAGAGAGAGGAAGTGGGACTTTCCCGATTGAATAGTTAACAAAAGTAGCAGATAAAAAGTCATGAGAGAGGAGAGAAGGTAACAAATAAATAATGAGAACAGAAACGATAGACACGTGGCAGTGATTAAGTAAATAGTGGAAAATTAGACGGAGACAAATTCTAATTCAGTGGTTTTGAGTGTTGGGATTTGAGTACCTCTCGCATGTCGTAACAATGCAAAATTTCATGTGAATTTGCTTGGCATTTCAATTTCATGTCCCCCAACCAAACCACACTCTGTCTTTATTTAATCTTTTGTCCTTTGCGTGCGTGTGCTGTTTCCAAACTACTAAGTGCTTTCATTTTCTTTTCAATCACTAGGGCCGCGCCGAGTCAACCCAACGCCCACTCTTCGACACTTTACCCATCTTCCACTCTTGCCCTTTTTCTATATATTCTCCCCACCCTTCACCTGTTTCTCCCATTTCTTTGCTTTTTGGTTGCTGCCGCTTCTTCAAGAGAGAGGGCTCTCTTTTCTTTCTTGGGTTTCCTTTTTTCTTTTCTGCTTTCACTGTTCCGGCTCCAGGTTAGTTTCTGTGTCTTTTTTCCCATGTTCTTGCTATTATTTGATTTCCTTTAAGTTTTGTTCTTTTTAGTTGTTGGAGGATGAGCAATTTTGTGCCTATTTTGAGATCTGTTTGCAATTTGACCATGTATTTTGGTTTTTACGTGATGGGTTGAACGGTTAAGGCTTTTTTTTTTTAATGGAATAAGGCACATTCTTTAAATCTTTGATCTATAAGCTCGGTTGTTTTTGTAATTTTGCTCAAATGCAAGACTACTTTTTTAGCGATTTTGACAAAGATATTTGTAGTAGCAAGCAAGAGAAGAGACCCCGCCAAAGTGTATCAAGATTTTGACCAATTTTTTGATCTTCTGTTGGGCTTTGCAGAAGAACGTTTGAGTGTTTTCACGGTTGGGAGCTTTGGGGATTTTCCATCATAGAAAGACTTTTTGATCAAGTTTAGTCCCAGAGGCAATGGAGGTATATGGCAAAACCATGGCTGCTGTCCCTGCAAATGTTATTTATTTGTCTACTATTTTGGGCCGTGATGGCCCTATTCCTGTTCACAAATGCGATTGGAAATGTCAAAATGAACATGTTTGTGGCAACATGTATCGCTGCAAACTAACAGGAATCACACACATCTGTGACAAGAATTGTAACCAGAGAATTTTGTATGATAACCATAGTTCCCTTTGCCGGGCAAGCGGCCAGGTCTTTCCCCTTACTCAAGCTGAGGAACAGGCGGTCAGAGGCGTCAGGAGGAAGCTTGATGCTGACAATTCCCCACCCTCTGATAGCTGTTGTTTTAAGCGCAGGCGCAATGCGCAGTTTCATCCTTCTCCTTTCGAGAGATCTTTCTCTGCTGTTAGTCCGATCTGCAGCCAAGTTGGAGATGGCATGGATATGAGCTAAGATTAGATTAGATTTTAGGTTACATATATAGTATCATATTATTATCCTTCAAGACTCCTATACTTGTTTCACTTATCGTGTTCCATTGAATCTTTGCCATTTTGCTTCCTTTCATGGGAGAAATATGGATAAATGGATAATAGACTTGATGTTGATGGACGTTGGCGTTCTACTCGCCTGTAGGAAAAACACTTTTATTTCTTATCTTTCCTAATGCTATGTAGCTCCTAGCTTCGTTATGAAACTTGAATTTAATTCAGTTTCTTTCTAACTCTTCTTATACTAAGATTTATCAACTTTCACAGCTACATGGTGCTTCTAGGTCCTTGGTAGGAGTTAAATTGTCAAGATATTCATTTAGCAGTTCCTTGGTTATTTATGTTTATTCTAATTGTTAATGTTGCACCTTTCTTAATTATTTTATTGAACTTGAGCATTTGTGGATGTATGGTGCTATATTTGATTGTTAACCTAGCTCTGAATCGTATTGATAGTGTGGAATCAGTTATAGCTTTTCATTTTATAAATATTGTACCTATTTTCATGGTTTGCCATTATTTTTCAATGTGATTCTATAACTTTTTGCTTTGTGTTTTGACTAGTTGAATGCAGGTTGAAGAGGAATGGCATGGCTATTGTCATGCGTTTTTTACATTTTAGTTTATTCTTTTCTCTTCCTTTTCTTTTTCCCCAGTTAATTTGTTATATGAGACCTGAAGTATATGTTGATTTTGCAGGGGTTGAAAGTGTGCAATTCAGGAGAGTTTAAATATGCATTTGCAATAATGAATGAATTTTTCCATTTCCGGGTTTTTATGGATCGAAATGTTCTGACTTTCATATTTTTTAATAATTCTTGTGCAGGTAAATTTTTCATTGCTTGTGTTAGATGTCAAAACCATGCCTGTTACTGCTGGTGAACTAGGTTCCATGATATGCTTGCTGCCTGCTATTAGCAGTCTGGCTTTTTCCCCCACAGAATGCAAGGTGGTTCAACCTTACACAAGTCAAACATTAAATTGCCATCTTCAGACAACAGCAAGGTAGAACTATTGCTAGTTCCATGTAAATGTGTACTGTTTGAGTTTTGCACATGGAAGAACTGCTACGTGCTAGTGCTTATAAATTACCCATGCTTTTGCAACTTTGGTGGGGAGAAGAAACCAATGGGTATCTTCTGCTTGGCTGCTCTTGAACAAATGTTGTGTTAATGCTGCTGTCTTTCTGAATAATAGCAGACGTATTTTGAGGTTTGAACCTGATTTGCCAAATTAAAATGGAGTTATAAGCAAGGTGATTGATCCCCTTACCATTTAATTACTTGGTTTCTCTGTGCTGAGAATGAAATAACAATATCGTTTGACTTCTATTGGATCAGTTGCTGAAAACCTTTGGCCTCTATTTGGAACCAATGAAGAAGTGAGATAACCATTTATGGACAGAGAATCAAATTGTGCTTATCAGAAAGCTCCTTGTTCCAGCTGAATCAAAGTGCATGCTAACAAAAAATTTTGGGAAAAATAGGCTGTAGTGCTGAATTTAGCGAAGAAGTTGGATGTGTTTTAGGTAGCTGAACTGTACAGCTGGTAGTTGCCTGGATTGTGTCCGACTTGAAACATCAAAGCTTTGCTAATTGCAATGTCGAAATCTTGCTATTCCATTGCATGATTCTTGTTTTTTGTCCCGGCAATTGTCAGGGCTAGCAAAACACTTAAGGTAAGAGGAACTGATGCTGAGTTTTACCTGGTGAGGTGGATCCAGGTTTGAGTTGCTGAGCCGCAGACCAAGGAACTTGTTATAAGTTGTGCTATCCTGAAACATTGAAGTTTTGTCAAACCCAACTCTGACAAACCCAACTCCGAAGTGCCGCCAAGACTTGTTCCTTTTTGTTCATCCAATCCTGCCATACTTGGAAGCTGCAACCACTCAGCCTGTAAGCTGTTTGAATGCTTAATATTGTCAAGCAGTGTTCCTCGAATTCTTAAATGTAGTTATGATAGGTAGTTTTGATTTACCTAGTCTCCTAGCTAAGATCATCACTTAGCTTAGTTGTAACAACTCCCTCTTTTCTTCCCCATTTACCACTGCTGGTCCGTATTTGTGATTTATGACCTTGCAAAAGAAGCAAAAATTGTGCAATTAATTTTAGGGTTATGCTGGTACAACATTTATATGTAATTGATTCTTACAAGCATTGTATTCGAATTTTTCATGGAAGGAAATATTAATCATGTTGTTTAAGGAGTAGTTATGAACTATATATAAATCCTTCTACCGCATTGTAAAATTTCAGTTCTGGGGTTGAGTCGGTCCATTTTAGCCTTTTTATAACAGATCCGGACTCGGGTTTAAGCTAAAAGCCCATTCTAGAATAAAACCAAATCCAGAAACAAAAAAATATAGGATGCTGTACCAACTACCAGATATATCTATATCCGTCTCCAGCGGCAGCATCAGGCAAACCCACGTTCCAATTTCCAATTCCTAAGCCTCTTCGTCCTTTGGGCAGTTTAACAATAAATAAATAAATAGGTAACGAAATGGAGCGAGGAAAAGAGCAAGGGATAATGGTGATGCCCCAGCAAAACCCTCTGGAACAATTGCAAACCAAGTTCAAGGAAGTGGAGAGCGGGTTCAGGGCATGGCTAGCCAAGCAGTCCTTGGCAGTCGAGGCGGCTGTGGTAACCACCACCAGCGCTGCTCAGGGTGCTGCTATCGGTGCTTTCATGGGTACCCTTACCAGCGATGTTTCGTCCTCTCTTCCAACTCCTCCTCAGGCTTCCCTCAATCCTCAAGCCATGGCTTCTCTCAAGCAAGCCCAGGTCTTGTCCGTTTTTATTGCCTTTATTCTTATCTACAACCTAGATGTTTTAAGAACTACAATCGCCTTATCTCAAAAAACAGTATTACTTGGTAATAGTTTTTACTGTAGCTTAACCAACAACACGGTTTCCAATCCTCCTTTCTCAAGTTCGTTTTTAATTTGGGTTAATGCCGAAGTCACGGTTTTTTTTATGTTTGTTGAATGCTTTTTTGTCTATTTTGCTGCTCTGTGACTTCATGGGTTAAAGCTGATTGTGTTATTTTGGGAAGAATCAGGTTCTTATATGGTGCATGCGAATTGAGTTTATTGCTGTTTAGAAAGCATTAGTTACAAATTACAACTACTGAAGTGTTTTCTAAACAGTATCGGACTATTGTCGATAAATGAATTTTACTGACATACGATGGACGCTTACTTTGATTACAGGCTCTATCAGGAGGTCCCTTGGTACAAGCTCGCAATTTTGCCGTGATGACGGGTGTCAATGCTGGCATATCTTGTGTTATGAAAAGATTGAGAGGGAAGGAGGATGTTCAATCTAGGTGGACCTTTGATCACAGTTTCTTTATCTTCACTGATTTTCTTGCTGTTGGTTTATAACTGGAGTATATTGCTACTAGTCATAGTTCAATCAGAATACAACATACTAACGTGTGCTGCAATATGCACAATTAACCCATAAAAGATACCAACAGATAATGCTATAAATGGACTTGTTTCTGAACACAGACACACTACAAATATTTTTCATCGTAAATTCTTATTTGATTATTCTCTTTTTATCCTCAGTTGTGTATTGAATCTCACTGAGATCCTTGTTGAGATGCAGAGAAAATCTTTTTCATTCTTTAAGGCCAAAACAATATTAGCTTTGCAAATGTTCTGGTCAAACAGGTTGTTCCGGACCATGGAAACTTTATTGTAGTATCCTATACTGGCTTTTTCTGAACTGGTTAGTTAGAAAGGAGTGTTTTTTCTTGCTTTGGTCTAAAAGCAGCACAGTTAGATTCAACGACTGAGTATTTGGGAAAGGATGAAGTATCATGTATCCCTTTGGTTTGTTGTCTAGTCATAATTGGAGGCAATTTCTCTTTAATTTTCCTGGAGACTCTAAAGGTTGTTGCCTTTTAGAAACCAAATTGATTTCCATTCTAGCTAATCTGGGAAAATATGCTGTATCAAGCTATGTAAAGATCATGGTCCTGTTATTATTATTTTATTATTTTTTATTTTTTGACACTATCATCATCCCATTACTATTTTAATTTGTAGGCATCTGATGAATAGAAATAAGTTTGCAAACATTTTAACTGGTACAGTTAAAAGGTGATTAACTGATTATATATTATTTTGAGTGGCAAATGAGATAACAATATTTGAAAATGTTGTCATTTGGAACTGGCTTATTTCTCTATCAGTTAGAAACTTGGAGGTGCTATGTCGATAAAAATATACACTAGGTTTTTTCTTCTCTCATTTACTCTTCTAGATACTACCTCTCCCCCCACTTTTATTTCCCTTTCTCCAGGGTGCAATCTGCCTTCTGTACCTCCTCTCTCCCGTCATAAATTAGAATTGCAATATTATTTGTGGAGAGCATTATTGGATACTTGTGTGTGGTCATCTGAAGATTGTATAGATGGTCCAAGCTTGTTGTTTGAATAAATAACTGTAGACTTCATTAGTTTTGTTTTATTTTGGTGGACTTTAATACTTTAGGTTTACACAATTGTTTAAGACAAATATTGTATTTTGCAGCATGGTGGCAGCTTTTGGTTCTGGGGCCATGTTTTCTTTAGTGAGTGGCATTGGTGGCCCAAATCAAGCTGCAAATGCAGTCACTTCTGGACTTTTTTTCGCACTTGTTCAAGGCGGGCTTTTCCAGGTGATTTATTATCTTATTAACCTCTCTGAAATCACTATTTTATTTTCAGCCCATGTTATTAAGTGCTCTGCAAGCTGTGAACATAATCGAGCATGCATAAACCAAAAGACTTTGGAATTAATTGTTGTTGAGAGTGTCTATATCCATTTGCTTTTCAAGCAAATTTTCCCCTTTCAGCGGTTGAATATTCTGAATGAATACTGCTTTGAAATATTGCTCTATTGGCCTGTAGTTTCATATGTAGCAGCCCTTTTTTTCTGATTATACAGTTAGGGCAAAAGTTTTCTCAACCACCTGCTGAGGATGTGTACTATTGCCGAACAAGGTCCATGTTAAATAGTCTTGGCCTGCAGAACTACGAGAAGAATTTCAAAAAAGGCTTGTTAACAGATAGCACATTGCCTTTGCTCACTGATAGGCAAGCAGTTGGATTTTTTTATCTTAATTTAACTCTCTAATTAATATTTTATGAACCATGTAGATATATTCTCATGGCCTTTATATTGACACGGTGTGTTTCAGTGCTCTTAGAGACGTCAAAATACCCCCTGGACCCAGGCTCCTTATTCTTGATCACATTAAGAGGTTTGACTCAATCTTCCATGTAGGATAATCATATATTGCCCTTGATCATTGGATCCTATCTCACCTTCTAGTTAAATATTTGTCTTCAGGGACCCAGACTTGAGAGAGAAGCAAGGGCGTCGTGCGTGAAGTTCTATTATCAAGCTGGTTCACCATGTAGGGGCAATTTCCAATATATCTGAAACTAAAGAATGGGGGACTGGCTCGTATCTCTTCCAATGAAATGAATTCCTTTTGTTTCTTTTTGTCCTTAACAACCAATTTCAATAAACAAGTTTGCTCTAGCTTTATTTTATTGAGTAGTTTCAGTTGCTGTTATACTAAACATCAGATAAAGCTAGTTGCATGAACGAATGCAGTAATTTTTGTATTTGCATCTGCTTTTTCTAGCCAGCTTTAATGGCTTCCAAGTCCAACAGGGTTAATGCAGCTGCTAGTAAGTTTGCCGTCCTTTGACAGCATTCAAATGCATGGTAAATTGGATATGATGATTGTATCACTCCTTGACCTGGAATACAAGCTGTTTTAGATACTGGAAACGTCCAAACTATTTGCTTGCGTTGAGAATTATATGATGACTTCGTTTCCAGGTGATCTGAACCTATTTTTTGGATGGGTCAGCTTGCAACGTGTGGTATAAATTTTACCCAAAGCTCGAAAGTCAAACAAACTAGATATGTGACTAAATTCTGGTGGTCTGCTGACCTTGGGACTCTGGTCTGGAAGTGTAGTAAAGATGGTTAATTGATGCAGGCTGCCATGCCGGGGTGAAAAGGTGGTTTTTAGTAACAGAGTTGGCACCCGAGGTTGCGGTGGGATAAATAAATAAATTTTTAATTTTTAATTTATTCAAATAGATATTTATTTTTGAATTTATATCTAAATAAATCTTTGATATAATGTAATTTTTTATTTAAAATTAAAAATTATTCGAATATAAATAAAAATAAAAACTTATTTAAATATAATAAATATATTCAAATTTATTTTTTAAAAAATAAGGTGAAATAGTTTAAGTATTTTTTTTAATATTTTACAAAAACGAAAATGAACAATTGGAAGCCACTTGTTGGCAAAACTATCATTAATAATCGGGAAACGTGCAATGGTGGACCATCCTTGCCCGAACAGTAACCATCAGCCCAGCCCCGGCATGCCTTGCCTAATCTTTTCATTTCTTCGTAGCCGTAGGGCTTGGATTTCGTTACTGTTGTCTCGATCTCGATTTTTGTTTTTAGTTTCGTTCTTATTTAATTAAATTTTCTTTCTTGTAGCTTGCAGATTATTGGGATTGGAAGATCAAATTTCACTCTACAAAAAGGAGAAAGGTCCCTCTCCATTGAATGGCGCTGCAGATTCAAATTGCGTAAATTTATACAAACACGAGTTCAAAAAACTAAAGATGGTTATGGACAAACAAGCATGCATACAGTCATATAGCACCTTACCGAAAATCGATCAAGTGAAAAAATTACATGCTAGTTTCAATGTTTAATGTTTTAAAAAATTTTAGGTGTTTTTGTTCAATTAATATTTTATCACACTAAATCAATCAGGTGTGCCTGTTAATTTTGAATTCAAATTACTAAAGCATGATTTTGGTGACCTTTCTTTTGAAGCAGTATAACTGATTGAAGATTAATTATAGAGCACCTTACAGAAAATCAATCAAGTGAGTTATAGTTTTTGAAAGACGATTGAATTTTTGAATTTCTTTTAAAATTGCAAAAGATTCTTTAAATCATTAAAAGCATGAATTGAAAATGTAAAGGATACTCTGGAATCAAAGAAAGATAATTTTATAAGAATTAAAATGAATTATGTTGATGGTTTTTTCGAGTGTCTTGACTGGACAAAACAATTTTAAATAAACTTTTGAGTAGAAATAGAACTGCTGCAGCTAAAGCATGATGAGTCGTTTGTGTGTAGTAGGTTTATCCTTGATCAATTGGCGGCCCTGCCCCTTTTTGAAGGGACTCTTTCAATAGTCGCTTCCTCCACTCGAGCAACTGACTCTAATTCTGGCTCAACCAACGATCGAAGAAAATTGTTTCTTAAAATCAACAACTTCTCCAATCCATTCCTGATTCCCTCGGTGGTTTAGCCACTATATCCTTTCTGCCACATGGAGTTCTCTCATTCGTCCAACAAAACACCAAGTTGGCTCAATTGGTTGCTGTGTGCTGTGTCATCTTACCATGTTGTCATTAAATTTTTAGTAACCGACTAGTATTTTTTGTCCTGCCACAATTCAAACGCTGACACATGAATATTTAACATTGTTTACATAACTGCTGATTAGCAACAGACTGGAACTCATATATTTACGGATCCATAGACAAACTTGGTTAGACTCCTCACGCCTTTGTTACATAATAAAACATCAGACAAAACCAGAAGCCAAAAATTATATACTAGTACTAGAAAACTTTTGGAAAAAAAAAAATCAAAGGATGGAGATGGGTGCAGGGGAGCTGTGGTTTGGAGGGCTGGTTCATGAGGTAGAGGATATGGGCGTTGTAAGCACGGGCCTGATTGAAGGACTCTGCTTCTAGCTCTCCCAACTGAGAACACAGCCTTTCCTCGGCTTCTTCCGCCACCCTTAGCCTTTCCCATATCTTTTGTAACTCTTTTCTCATATGTTCCTCTCTTTCCCTGCTCTCCTTCAACTCCTTCTCCAACTCTTGGTTTCTCTTTCTCAACTCTTCCTCCTCTTTTTTCTTTGCTGCCATGGCTTTGGAATCAGCTACAGCCATTGTTGGAGCCATTTGCTCGTTGTTATATGTTTTTTACTTTGATTGGTGGAGAGTACAGTAGATGCAGTTATGGAGGATCAACCGATGTGGGAGGAGTAGACTCTCCTATATAGCTTCAACCAAAAATGCCCTTTTCTTTATTGGCGTTGCTATATGCTTAATGCTTTTACAAATTCAATTTCAACTCTTTGCACTATTTGATTTGCGTGACCTTTCCTTGTCCTTGTGCACATAATTGCAGCCTGTCGATAGACGTGACGCAATGGGTTAAGGGCTTCTTGCGTGAAGTTTGGCCTTCTTATTTAATAATTTTAATTGGGTTTTGGGTCCATTCGGGACCCCCACTACCCGGCCTGATATCAAACCCGATGTTATTAGTAGGCATTCGTCCATTTTTAAGATATGGTCTTCCATTCACCGACACTTTTTCATTTAGGTTTTATCAAATCACTTGAATGAATGATGAAGATAAGTAAAACAAATGCACAAATGTCGATGAAGCTCTGTTGTAGATTCTTGAAACCTCCAAAACCCAACCATCCAATCCAGGGCTCTTTTCTCCGATATTTTCCCGGTCTTTTGTCTGCTTTTTCTTTTTCCCTTATTCTCCTTGCGTTCCTTACCTCTTTTTATATTTTCTTTTTTTTTTTGACTAAATTCCACCATTAATTCTTAATTTTTTGTAATATATTTTTAATTTGCAATGTAAAATTTTTTTAATTCCTGATTTTTAAATTTGTTAAAACTTCATCCATCCATCAATATTTTTATTTTATTTTTGCTTGCTTAGTTTCTTTTACTTTAGCTTTTCACTTGGAGCATTATTAATTTATGATGTACGCTTTTTGAAAATTGACCTATTTAATTATTTATATTTACAAATAAATAAAACAATTTTAATTTTTGTTTCGCCAAACGAGGAATGATAGTTATGGTATTGGCAATGGCACGAAAGTCTATTAAAGAAAACAAATTTTTTTCCTTGATATATAATATTTTGTCATCCAAAAAAGTAGAAAAAACAAAAGACATAACGCTGGAGCTGTCACATGGACGGTGAAGAAAACAGAAGAGATTGAGAAGGGGTGAGCCTTCATGCTGAAGATTAGAAGCCCGTTGGCTTCGGCCCAGGACCTGTGAAAGTAATATGGCACGCCGTGAATGTGGCCCCAAGAAGGGTACATTGCATAATAATAATAATAATATAATTAAACTAAATAACATATTATAAGTAGATGAGTTGAAAAGGTTACCAGTTATTAACTTTAATTTCATTTATCTACACTAATTGTGTTTTATTAATGAATTTATTTTCATATTTTTTAATTAATTTTAATTCAAGGTATGGAAATTGAAAATGAACTTCGTTGCATCCTATTGTTATTTAATGCCAAAATGAAATCAAACGAGAATTTAGATAAAGTTTTTAAAATTATACATGTAAATTTTTTGGTTAAAATTGATTAAATGAAAATTAAATTTAAAAATTAAAATAAAAAATTGATAAAATTAATGAAAATGTTAATAATATATAAAAAATAGCTAAAATTAACACATTCGTACAAAAATTATCGATGTTTATTGATTAGTATAACTTTTTATAATTTATAATAAAATTGTAAAATATATTAAAATTGTGATAAATTTTATATATAATTAAATATTTAATTATATTTAACAAAAAAATTCATGAACTTGACTTAACCGCGAGGGGAAAGAAAAAGAAAAGTAACTAATTCTTACCCGTGTCGGAGCCCTGACACTCGTGTCGGCGTCTGAAAACCATCCATTAGTCAAATTTTTCACACCCAAAAAGTCATATTTTATTCGTCAAATTAATATTTTTATACTTAATTGAGAGTGACGTAGCCGAGGGAGAGAGTTTAATAATTTTAACAGCGGGACGCCGGGCTCATATCATCCTCTGCGTTTCACGCGATCGTGTTTTTGATTTTCACGTCTCTTTTGGCTTTGAGTGCATATCACTACACAGCCAGCCACCATTTTTCCCTTCTCATCTCAAGTAAGTTAATCTAATTTCTTATACTCTTTCGCTCTTTTCTTTTAGATCGTGTTGGTTTGGTTAGCCTCCAGTTTGAAATCCTTTTACCCTTTCTATCGTTCCCGATTACAGGTAAGACTTTCGAAATTCCTAAATCCTTAGATTTGCCGGCTGACTAGGTTTTATTATTTTCATTTCAGATTGATTTATATGAATGATTTTGCATCATCATTATTCGGTAATGATTAGTGAAATCGTTGGTGATCGGAGTTGAGAGGGAGCTTCCCTTCTCCACCTTTGTCGACTAATTATAGTCGTTTTCGTAATACATCGCAATAATTTTCGGTTTATTTGGGGAAGGATTGATGATTGATTGCCATGGAAATGGATCGAGAGTCTGGAAAATCGGAACAAATTGTTTCTCAATTTCGTTCCAAGATCTTGCACGTTATTTTGGACTCCAGGGTCCCTTCTTTTCACCACCACCACCAACAGCAAGAATCTTTTTCTCTTTCTCGGGTGAGAAAGACTGACAAATGGTTCAATTTAGTATTAGGACACCGCCCAGCAGCTTTGGAGAATCTCAATTTCTCCCTTAGAAATCTCTTGGATCCTGTGATAATCGACATAATACTAGTTCAACATGGTTCTTCTTCCTCATCAGTGGACAATATTTGTACTCCTTCAGCTGCAGCTGCGGGCTTTACCGAGACTGTTATAGAAAGATGGGTTGTTCAATATGATTGCCCTCGGGTTGTTGCTACTCCAAGTGGTGCTGATACTTCTGGTTTGTATAAGAAGACTTACAGGAAGTCTATCATACTTTTACGGTCTGTTTATGCACAAATGAGGCTTCTTCCTGCATATAGAATCTTTAGGCAGCTGAGTTCATTGAGCCAAACATATAATTTCGATCTTGTTTACAAGGTTTCATCATTTTGTCATCCATTCACTAGGGAAGAGGAGCATGTGATGAAAGAATATAGTTTTGTTCCTGTTGAGGCTCTTTCTGGTCTTCTTTGTGTGTCAGTGACCTACCGTACATCTCTATCTGATTTCAACCTTGAGCCTTTGGTATCTTTGCCACCAAAGATTATTACAGACTATGTTGGTAGCCCGACCACAGACCCTATGAGATCCTTTCCTTCATCAGAGAAGGGTGTCCGTGCTACTTCCTTTCCATTAATAGGAGTGCGACCTCCATCTTCAGCTCCACTTCAACGTCCACATAGCTGGTCTAGTGGTTTTCACAGAGGATTCCCTTTTGCACAAAATCAATCCCTTGCGGGATCTCCACCTGCTTATTCTACATCTCCGATGACATATGATGTTGCATCTCCACCTTCTGATATGTATGGTAATAGAATTCAAAATCCTAGACTGTCAACTCTACAACAGGTTACTGCTCGTGATGAATATCAGCTTTCACCCCCATTCTCACCATCTCCTTCCCCATCACCTCCAACATACTTATCTGGTGCTAATCCTTTACTTAGTCATCATCGTTCTGAGACTGCCCCTGTAACCATTCCTCGTCCAATAACTGGCAGAAGTTCTAGATATCTTTCTCCTAACTCTTCTGATACAAGTAGACATTCCCTTCCCCCTCTGTCTCCCAGAAGCTCAAAGCATTATGCCTCATCTCAGGAATCTCCCTCTGGGATTCGATCATACAGGAAAATAGAAGCTCTAAGGGCTGGAGAGTCTCCTTCTGGCTTATCAAATCATTATTCTGTACACAAGGTAGTCTTAAATTTCTGTTTCTTCTATTTGAAACTTTTACCTTTCTACAAAACCTTGTATCTGTATTTATGTACCAGCTGATAAGGGCATAAGGCCAATACTCATTTGTTTCATAGGTGGTCAGAGATAGTAAAGATGACTCAGGCCGATTCTCTGGATTGTTATCTTCTAGTGGATCACCCCGTATTGGATTCTCTAGAAGCTCTAGTAGATTATCTTTTCAGGATGACATGGATGATTGCGAATTCTCTTGCCCGTTTGATGTTGATGATGTAGATGTATCTGATTCCTTGAATCAGACCAGGTACGTAGGTTTTTTTTTTTTTAAATCTGTTTCATGGTATTGATGCCCGTACTACATTTCTTGTTGAAAAAATATTTAGTGTTAGTTTTTATGCCTGCTAGTTTCACATTTGATCTAGTGCTTATCTTTGAAGCACTCCTTGTGTGAAAAGTTTTTCATGATATGAAAGACTAATTTTGAACTGCTATTTTCAGGCTGCACTCATTCAGTTAGCTTTATTTTGCCTCAAGTCTATCTTACACACATTACATGCTCAGGTTAATTGATCCTATATACTTGTTTCTAAGCTTAGAATATGATATTGGTTAAGATAAAGATTCCGTTCCTGAAGCATGGATAAAGGAAGCAAATCTACGGAAAACAAGAAGGAAACTAAAAGTGTACAAAAAGCCTAGGCATCAGAAGTTGTGAGCCTGGTTAATAGTCGGCGCTTGACATATAGGTCATTTATATCATCAGAATAAAGAATACAACGAGTAATAAAAACCAGGAAAATTTTTCTCTAGAATAGTTCTATTCTTCAGGAACAAAGTGATGTGTTAATTTTTTTTATATGGAATCAGAGTCTGCTCTCGGATATGCATCTCCTCCTTTACTTGCCTTTGCTGATTTGGATCAATTTAATATGGGACTTTCCTATTCTTGAGGTTACCTTATTGTTGCTTGTTGTAAGAGTTTGATTTTATATAATGTTTATGATTGGTTCCCTTTTGGCTTACATTCTTTATTCTTCTTTCTATGCCTGCAATTGGGTTTTACAGTCAGAACGTAGAGGGTAAAAAAGCTTCAGAATTCACTGCACAGGCAGTGCCAGTTGGTAAAAAATCACAAGATGCTGCTGTTGGCATTCTTGTTCAAATGCTTAGAACAGCACCTCCTCTGCGACAAGATCCAAGTTGTTATTCAACTCATTCGATAAGGACTGAATATGAGGGAGGTATTGGCACTGCTTCTGGATTTTTTATGCCACGTAAAACAGCAGATGCGCTCGAAGAGCTCAAGAGCTACAGAGAAATGAAAGATCTACTAGTATCAAAGAGTGGAACTCAGGTGGTTAGGAAAGAGGAAATGTAGTTGCTCTCTCGGTGGGTGGGGTGTTGTAGATGATCATATTGCTGTCAACTGATGCTAAATACAGCAGCAGCTGATGCAGTTTAGATCAAAACAGAATAAATTTCTTTAAGAGAGGATTAACGGATTATGTACATATTCTGAATGAACATTGGTTACGATTATTGAATTAGTCATTGGAATTTGCTAAATGCAAACAAAATTCTCTCATCTAGACGTTGCTTGTTCTTGAGAAATCCCTTGTGAATTTAGTTCAAGAAGTTGGGAAAAACAAAAGTTTCTCCTTTTATTTTTGGATAAACAAATAATACCAGTACCGGCAGTAACAAATAATTGTTGATGTTTTGTTCCAACAAGATTGTAGTCAGTTATTCTTACGTTTATACTTATACACTTTCCCAATAATTTGTTACTAGCACGGAAGAACTTGTTGCAAAGGGATTCTATAAGTGCACGGCTCATTTTTAGTTTTCAAGCAGGTTAAGGTATAGTTTCGTATTTTTGTTACCGTAATAAAAAAGTTTGAGTTGAAAAAAAATAGTTATAATTTAAATGTCTGAAAGTAAGCATAACTAAGGGATATAAAGATAATAATAAAAAATACCTTTATTAGTTTTTTTATTTGAATTTACAATTCATATTTTTATATCGAAAAATCATTTGTTTATTATTTAGCATTATTTAAAAAGTATTTTTAAATGTAAAAGCAACCCCCAACTTCAATCTTAAATTAACCCTAGAACTTAAAGGAGCTCGTGTATTTGGGGAAAGACATTTGCTACTGGTTCCAGGTAATTTGATTTTAAAATTTGAATGTCTTTTTTTTTTTTTTTAAATATAACTATAGTTTTCTCCTAATTTGGGATGATTTGTCTGAAGTGAAAATGGAAGGACAGCGAGTTTTCGCTCCAATTTTCCCGTGTTTCCCAACCAAACATTACAATTCATAAACGCAACTTAGGAGGCGAATCGACGGCTTCACTTTGATCACCTCTCCCCCTTGCCTTCACCACCGCTTCTGCTTTTGGAGGTGAGCGTCTTGATACCCATGGCCGCATCTTTCTTTCATCATAGGCTCCGAGACTGAATTTATTTGTTTATTTATTTTTCTTGCTATTATTCATCAGAAAATTAGCGCTAACCAAAAGATTTGGATTTTCGTCGAAATTGAGATCAAAGTAAAAATAATTTTTTCTTTTTTTAAAAAATAAACTATTCGGCATTGAAGAAGTACGATCTATGGAATCTTCCATCTGTCCTTTTTGTCATCTTTCAGTTTCCTCCTCAGATCTGCAACGGTATGCTCTTTTCTTTGTTCTACTTCCTTTTTAAATTCTAATTTTTGTTTAAGATTTTTAATAAATAGTAGTAGCAATTATTTGATACAGGCACGCCAACGGTCACTTTGAGGATGAAGATGAAGAAGCTAAAAACCTGGGATTGGCTATTCAAATTCAAATTGGCTGTTTTTCAGGCTCAACTGACGTGGATAGCATTTCCACGTTGATTGCTTTACAGACAAGGAGCAACTTTTACCATGTCAGAGATGGTTTGATTTCCTTGCTGAGAAACTGTTTAGAACTAGAAACCCAACACAATTCATCAGTAACCATATTGTCTGGTTATGTGGACCACTTCCAAAGCCTTCCGTCCGTGGATGTTGGTTGGGGTTGTGGCTGGCGCAACATCCAAATGCTGAGCTCTCATTTGCTTGCTTGCAGACAGGAAGCTAGACAAGTCCTGTTTGGTGGTTCGGGTTTTGTTCCTGATATTGCCTTCCTCCAACGTTGGCTTGAGATTGCTTGGGAAAGGGGATTTGATCCACCTGGTGCCCAGCATTTTAACTGCAAAATCTATGGTTCCATTCATAGGATCGGGACTACTGAATGTGCTTCTCTTTTGCGTTCATTTGGTCTTCGTGCTAGGGTGGTTGACTTTGGCCCGGAGGAATCTCAGCCATTTTATCTTTCTGTTCCTAGCTCTACTGCTGGACAACCAGTGATGAAAAGGAACGCAATCCAAGTTTCTGGACCTATGGATAGATACGTTCATCAACAGCAGGGTTTGAAGAAGCGAAGTCACTCTTGTGTGTCTTTGGGCAATGGAAGGAGTGATAATTCTAAAGGGAAAAGTGAGGGACCTCAGGTTCTGGTTGATTGGGTGTGGAATTACTTTTCAGATACTGGGTTAACCATATCTGGCTCCAGTCGTGTTGTAGTCACTGATAGAGCGTAAGTGAGCATCAACACTGCTGCTATAACTTTTATTCTAACATTGTTTTTTGTTCTAGGGTGTGCATCAAATGAATATCATTGTGTTTCTGTCCAATTTTCCCCTCAGTTTTATTAAGATACGAAAGCATACAATTTTTTATTACATTCTATGGTTCCGTTTTGACAGTAGCTTTCCCCAGCAGGCCTTTATACTTCCAACATGACGGACATTCACGAACGATAGTTGGGATTCAAGTTAAACATCAACAGAATGGGATGCATCAGTTCAATCTCTTGATTTTGGACCCTTCTGATGTGAGTATTACACATATATCTGCCTTTGCTGGCTATCTGACGTTCTTAACAGCTTGTAGACATTGACAAATGCCACTACTACTGAATTTTGCTGATTTTAATACTTATGAATCATGATATTGCCACTTTACTGAAGTTCTGATAATATATGTAGTCCTCACCCTAGCTATCTCATTTCTTTTATCATTTGCTCGTGTATTTTAACTATGCTTGAATACTGCAATTACTATGCACATTAATCATATCCAGAGTTCCTCATATGAAATTTGGAAGGTTTCCATCTGATTTAAATATTTGGTAGAAAAACCTGTATGGTACATTTGATTCACAAACTCAGGCCCAATCATGACCACCATGTTAAGAGTTAGGTTTTTAGATGCCCTTGTAACTGTAGAATTCAAGTCTGATGCACTGGCCTGTTAATTATTGTTCTGTAATCAGGGAAGCAAATTTTGGGAAATAAGTAATCTGAAAATTTTCTTTTGGCAGAAATTACAAAAGTTGGGACTTGCAGGGGTGTCAATAACCAGTCTTTCTTTATGTTGCTAGAATCTAGCGCTTTTTACGTGTATGCGTGCTCTTGTTGATGCATTAATGTTTGTGCATGTGATTGTTGCACAGCTAATGCTACATTTCTTCTGTAACCTTTTATATAAGTACAGGGAACAATTGCTTTGGAAAGATCGCTTAAAAAGAATGAGGGATGGCAGAAGCTTATAAAAAGAGGAGTCCACACCCTGAACAAGCCACAATACCAGGTTATAACACAATTTTTAAACACTTTCTCTTTGATCTAACCATCTTTTGATATATGGGCTTATATTCTACGACTTTTTCAGTTGTGCTATATTGATCCTGGAATTGCTTGTGGGGAGGAGCTGGAACAACTCAAAACAATAAATAGCACCTTCATTAAATTGTAGAGGAATATATTGGCCAAAAAACAAAATTGTAGAATATAGCGAACTTCTGAGTCCTTAGGTACTGTTTATCTATTTCATCTACTTGTAAAGTTTTGTGCCTTTTCCTTTCTTAAAACAAAAATGAATATAAATCCTTTTCCAGGATGTCTATGTGGAATGTAAATCTATGGTTTTTACCAGTACCATTGCTTTTTTAAGTGTTTTTTTTTTAATTCATGAGTTAATGTAAAAAATTTCGCATTTGACATATGCATGTTTTGTATACTTTGATTTTTTGTTGGTCTCTAAAGTTGGCATAATCTTGATTAAGCTCTTCCTTAGATGCTGTTATAGCAATATTAGAGTTGGATGTCAAGAAATCCCAAATGTTGGACCTCTATTATGATAATTATTGATTTTTTTTTTGGTCAACTTTTACCTGGAAAAGCCTATGGTCAGCTCTATTTTGCCTGTCTGGACAACAAGCCAACATTGCTAGTCAAACTTATCGATTCCAAAGCACTATGGCTGTTTTGCACTTGACATTTAGCTCCTTGTTTCATATAGGCAAAATTGTTGAGTCTATGGTCAATGGCTTTCCTTGGCCCTCGCTTTTTTCCACCCTAAAGTTGGCAACTTCGCTCCTGAAAACTGTATCTTCACAATCAGGCAAAGCACATGAAAAATATGGGATGTTATTAGGCATCCAACTCAAAGTTGGCAGCTCCTCTTTTGACAAGTGTATAGTCATCATCGGTCCAAGTGCCAGCAACTCCTGTAAGTTACGGTGCACAATCCCAATCAGTTTCAGAAGCCTTAATGAGTCCAACGTGTTTTAAGTGCCCTGCCCCTGCCTTCTGGCTTCAAATTGCTTTATATTCAGTTGGGTTTTGTTTTTTTTGTCTGAATTATATTCTGCCAGTGGGAATCATAGATGCTTTGCAGAAGGCCAATATAAATCACTTTCTGGTTCCACTTGGCCAGAGAAGTGTCATTTTTCATCTTGGTTTAAACTTGTAATCTGAAGCTGTAGAGAACAGTTTAATTTCTTTTCTGTATTATTGGGAAATCTAACCACACAAAAAATAAAGGTTGTAATTGGCATTGACGCATTGTGCATGGAGACTCCAATTAGTGACACGTTTCATTCAATAATTGGATCTTCAATTTTTATTTTTTTTTTTATAAAAGAAACTTACAAAAACTAAAAATAAAACAGAACAGAGAAAAAGAGAAATGCCTTCTAACAAAGTCTGATGTGGCCGCCATTAGCCAGAGCCAGGGTTCACACTCTGCTTCTTCGGACGGCGACCCGTCCGATTCTTAAGAAAAAAAATATAAAACAAATTCAAATATAAGAAAAAAAATCAAATATATGTTCAAAACAATAAAATCAATATATAATTTATGGATATATTATAATTTTAAATAATTAAAAAAGGAAAAAATTTATTATTTCTCATCCAAATATATTAAAATAATACATTTGTTGATATATTATGATTTCAAATAATTAAAATTTTTTAAAAAATGTACATTATCAAATAATAATTATTATTTTTATGAAAACAATCATAAATAATATTAACAATAATCAAAATATTTTATGAAAATAATCCATGTCTATTTTGTGGTTGAAAATAATTTTTTGTAATTTTTTTGAAGTTGTTGTACATGCAAAAACTAAAAACTTTTTTAGAATAATCTGAAATTTAAGTTAGTTAATTTGGTTAAAATTTAAATGTCAACATTTATAATATTTTTATTTTATTTTTCTCAAATTATAATATCTTATTGAAAAAATAAAAAATAAGTTATTTAAGGGACGAAAGAGAATAGAAAATAAAATAACAGAGTAAAAGGATTAGAATAGCAGTATGGAATAACTTCATCCATCCAAGAATAAGAATGACGCGGAAAATTGGTTGGAGTGTAAAAATCTTGCAACATCATCAAGTTTCTTCATCGGAGTTGGGGCTTTTCAATGTCTTTTTATATGTTAGTTACTAATCTTTCTATCAACTTAACTCATGATGTTCCTTAATTCCTGGAAACTTCTCCTGTCATTACCGACACCATTAAATGGAGTTCGATGTTGGCTCTCTCCCTTTTTCAATATTAAACGAGAGATTTGGTACTTTTAATTTTTCTTTAAAATTTTATTTTTTATTAAAAAAATTGATAGATTTAATTTTTTTTAAATATATTTTTTAAAATTTTATTTTTTAAAAAAATTGATATTTTTAATTTTTTCTCAAAAATATTTTTTTTGAAAACTTTATTTTAAGAAAATCATTAAAAAGAAAAATTAAATTAAATTAAATTTAAATTAAAAAAATTAAAAAATACCAAATAATTCTAATTTAGAAATAATAATATAAATATAAATATATAAAAAAACCTTGAAACGGCTCCGACTTGAATTCGGTTAACTTGAGAGATAAAAGCTGCTGGATGGCTTGATATGCGGCTCGATTTAACAGCTCGACTCGACTAAACCAAATGCAAGGGTGCAAGTCAACGAACTCGGGTTAGCGCTCGAATCGGGTCGGATCTTGACAAAATACACGGATCTTAGATTTATTAACACTCAAAACGACGTCGTTTTGCGATAGTATAAAAGGCAAAAACTTTCGTTTTTTTGCCAGATGCTTCTCCCTTTCCTCTCTTTCCCTCAATTTTTTCTCCTTTTTTTTCTACCCACGAAGAACGTCGATGAAATTCTCACCAGTTTCTGGGTTTTTCTACAGGAAACTGAGTTTTTCATTGGAAAAGTCATTAAAAAACTTGAATTTTGCCTAAAAATTGCTTGGAATCTGAAAATTTTCCAAAAATTTTTCAAAAAAAAAAAAAAGCCAAAAATTCAACAAAGTTTCCTAAAAATTCTAAAATCGCCTCTATTCTTCTAAACACTAATTTTGCTTCTGTTTACCTTTTGTTTTCTTTCTGTCTCTTCTGTTTTGTGGTTCTGTTTAAGCCTATATTTATATGATCAATTTTAGAATCCCTGATTAATCCGAATTCTCTTTCTAATTAGATTTCTGGATTATCAGATTAGTCATTGAATTTATCCTCTAATAGTTTAATCCAACTATGATTCTTCATTGGCCTTATTCATGGTAGAATTCATTCCCCCCTTTTTATTTTTAATTATTCTAATAATAATCGAAAATCAATCTGAAAAGGAAACAAAAGAAAAATCTAGAAGAAAAACAAACAAATAAATAAATAGATAATAATTAAGCCCATGACTGACGTCATTGGACTAAGCCCAATTGATCCGGACTTAGATCAAATTGGGTGTCTACAGACATGAACTATAATGAAAGCAAACAAACTCCTCAAAAGATACCTACAATCAAGATAAATTGGATTTTATTTATTTTTCCATTTCATAAGGGCAAAGCTACTGTTGAAAAAGGTAGGATTAACTTTCCAATCATTAAAAGATGTAATTTTGCTATGAGAATGTCAAATTTAGGTGATACTCTTTGTTGTTGAATCCATTTGTTAGGACAGTTACAGTGACCATTTACTCTAAGTATTTAATTTATAGAGTTTTCGCATTAAAACGCGTGACATAACTCTTTAAAAATTCATTGCGACCTAAGTGGATTGGCATTAAACTTAAAGTTATCTTCTTCCTTTTTTGGCTACTTACAAATCGAGACAAGAAAGAGTAGCTGATCTCTTTGAGCGTTATAATTGACCTCGATTTCAGGCTGTTATACTAAAACTGAGCTATGCCCTTTAGAATGATAGTAAGGCCTTTATACATCAAAACTTTGTTTGCCCCATGTATAAT